GCCCTTTGAAAAAAGGACCGCGTCTGTAGATCTGCAAGCAACAGGACGTAGTTGAAGTGCGGAGCAGTCACGCTGGTTCAGACGAAGTCATTTGTAATCAATAGACCCACTGTCCTTGGGGGTGTGCGTTCGATTGTGAATATTTTTCTGGTCTGTTCTTCATGATGCTTCTCTCTGATTATTAAATTTGTGTTTGTAACTTCGTACGTGACGCGAAAGACAGTCGTTTAAACTGAATTGGTGCGCTTTTTTCCGATTTATTAACGAGTCTAAACTCCATCTTGGGAGACGTTTCTTCTTCCCTCTGATTTGCATGGCTGGAGGTTGGAATCATTCCTTTGGCCTCGGCTAGAGGTTGGAAATTGAACACTTTTCCTCGCACTCTTTTGTTGGTACTAGTATGTATGGCATTGTCATGTAGGCACCAGAAATCCCTCCCTCTCTCTCTCTCTCTCTCTCTCTCTCTCTCTCTCTCTCTCTCTCTCTCTCTCTCTCTCTGTGTTGGGGGGGCGGAGGGGGAGAGGGAGGGGGTGTAGTTAGTGAAGAACTGCATTGGTGCTTGCCTACAGCTGATGGGCATTTCCACTTCCACTTCAAGTTGTCCTTATACTCTGGAGCGGTTTAACTACCGTCTTCACCCGAATAGAACGCCCGGCCATTATCACTGCATCTAGACTTAGATTTCGACCAAATACAGATATAATGACCGGGCGTTCTATTCGGGTGAAGACGGTAGTAGGACTCTACGTTTTCTCATGCATTTTTTCCCCTGCAGACGCACACCAACGAAGCTGTTTGTCTTGGCAAGCTAGGCGGTGGATTCCTCCGAGAAGTTCTGTGCCAGAAAATAGCCTCCACTGCCCTCCAGTGTTTGATCAACTAAACTTATTCCCCCAAAGCGTCTGGTATTCGAATTTGAAAAAGCACAGAAAAGAAAAAAGCCCATCGTCAGGTTTCGACATTTCGGTCACATATATTCACATAGCACACTTTGCCCAATGGAACACTAAACTGTTGTGTCCAAATAGAAAGTCTAGTGGTTGTATTTAAATTCACACTGCCAAATTGTGCCAATGAAATGTTGTTTGAAAATTTGAATGCCTGCCAGAAAAAATGTATGTGAAAATATTGCCTCTTGGTAATCGTTCGTGTCCAAGCTCTTGTTGCTTCATTTTTTTTTAACCCTATTGTAACTGTTCACTGATGCAAAGGAGAGGGGGGGGGGGGGGGGGGGGGGGGGGGGGGGGGGGGGGGGGGGGGGGGGGGGGGAAGGGGAACTGAAAGGGGTTTGTTGCGAAGAGGGAAAGTACTGCTCTAGTTTTCCTCGCTATGGGCGTCTAAGAGGAGCACTGAGGGCGTACTCACACTAGGACTTTTTTTACTTATTTCTAGACATGATCGCAGTCACTAACACTGGTGGGGGTGTTTAAAAAAAAAAAAAAAAAACAGATACGTCCAGGTCTGGCCTTAAATGTGGTCAGATACATTTAAGATAGTGCTACCAAGTGTGAGTAGACCCTGAAATGCAGAATACCTTTCCATACTTTCGTGTCTGGTCTCAATCCTCTGCGCACATAATCGAGTGTGTGCGTGCACACATCAAAGTTAAAGCACTGGAGAAGCCCATGCCTTTCGACCCTGGACCACCAGGAGAGAGAGAGGGGTTTAGGAGCACAGACGTAACCACGTGCTTTGCTTTCCTCGCCCTACTGAGCAATAAAGAGTTTCCCATGCCTGGCCTTAAAACCAGGAGGAGTGCCTCGCGGGCAATGTTCGACTTTTCTGATTGACTGCAAATTCGACCAGCGGTTGGAGGCGGCGGGGATCGAGAGCACGGTGCGCGTATGGATGGCCGCAAATTTGGCTGAGAGGAGGTTGGCACGTGTGATGGAACAGAAAATCGACGTGTGCTTAACCATTGAAAAAAAAATAATAAAACGCCTCGGCCTTATGTTCTAGCCTCTAGGGAAAGAGTTCGAAGCGTCCTGTGGGCTGTTCAATTTTGCAGGTGCCTCCATGTAAATCCCGTAGGCAGTTTCCTCAGAGTATTTCACAGCTGTACTTCACTAACCTAGGTTAATAGAGTCTGCAGGTTTTGCAGGTTAACGTATGTGTTAGAGCAACAGGGTAAACCCACGGGTGAACACGTACATTAATTGCGAGCAAGTAGCAGAAAACGCAAACGCAGAAACGCACACCGACTCGTCTTTCGCACACAAAAAAACAGAAGCGCACACCGACTCGTCTTTCACGCACAAAGAATCGATTGAATTTCCTCGAAGTACAAGTGAAAGCACGACGTCCCACCATGTTTCTACAGGCGCCGATTCCGGCGTCTTCAGGGGACTGCAAGAGTGGAAAAGACATTTGATAGAGTAAACCCGACCGACCTACCTATATACTCCAACACTACAATCTACTTAATGGCCGAGATTATTCTACCGAGTCCTACGACTAGTACTGCAAGCATCAACACAGTTCAAATTTTTTGAAAATTCATACGAACCACAGCTTCTCACGACCAACCAGCCCCTTCCGAAGAAGGAACAAGAAAATAGGCTCGCTTTGATACCTCCGATCGAAATTGACCAGTATCTACGCATAAGATATGTGGTCCACCGGGGACCGAAAACAAAAACAAAACAAAAAAAAAAAAAGGCGAGTAGAAAACTAAGAAAAGACATTTCAATACCTCTATTACCTCATGAATAATATCGACCCTACCCACAGAAGCAGACCTTAAAAGACGTAAGGAAAAATGAAAAACAGGCTTGGTAGGGTCAGAAGACTCAGGAGTCAGAACTGACCAATACCTGCCTATTGGTAAGCCGGAGACGCATCAGGAAAGATTTTCCAGATGAGAGAAAAAGCCTACATAGCCTGAAAAACATCAACCAGCCCATTTATTCCAAACCCCTCCCTACGTGGCCGCATGGGGTAGCTGCTGTCATTGTTGCATCCGTGTCAGCCGATTCGGACGCATGGTACATGCATCAGCACTTCGCTTGCAACGCAAGCCACAAACCCAAGTTGTCCATTATGAAGCCATCCACTTCTATCAACTATCTTCTTTGAAGGTGTCATAGTCCACTTCTTTTCAAGAGCTGGGCACCGTCAAACTCAAAGCGGATACTAGATAGACCTTGATTCTATCTAGTATAGCGGGCAGGTTTAATAGACCAGCACCACCTGCATCCTTCTACCGAATTTTGCAGCATGTGAAACAGAGGCCGCAGTTTTGAGCCAGCTACATTCAAGTGCCAACATTTTTTTGGCTTGACAAGGGCTACGTGGCAGTGGTGGTCTTTTGAACAGCACGCAGAGGCATGGCACAAAGTCCACACTTCGCTGCTGAAGGGGAGAAGTTCCACTTCCCCTTCAAGAGCACGCAGAGGCACGGCACAAAGTCCACACTTTGCACACTGATGAGAGGCTGAACGCGACTCTGCTGTATGCCACCATCTCCCCCCTTTTCACAACCAGCCTCCAGGCCCAGGCCTCTTTATTAAAATGGAAGAAAAAACTCTAGCCGCTGGGGTTATCCAGCCAACCAAACAAACAACCCAAACGGAAGGGAAAACTCTGGCCGCCTGGGTTATCCAGCCAGCCAACCAAACAACCCATGGCATGCATATGGAAGGGAAAACTCTGGCCACCAGCGTTTTTCAACTGACCAGCCAGACAAATACAATGTTATAGGACCCCGGCCTCAATCTTCTTATTGGTAAAAAAAGGATCCAAGTTTATTATTAAAAAAAAAAACTGTCCGGTAAACCGTTGGCAGAGAGGGAGAAGCAGACAACAAACAAGGGGGCTGTGACAAACTGTCTCGTCGGAGATGCACCGACTCATCAGGAGGCTGAACCCTCAACAGTCTGTAGAGTCCCCTAACTGATTACACTGTTTAAGCGATAATTCACCCTATATCGTATTAAGGAAAAGCCGGGTCTCGCGTGACGCCGGCGCGAGACCTGGTTTCCAGGTTTGGGACCTCGGGTGGTGACCTCAGGCCAGGACAAAAAAAAAAGAAAAAAAAAAAGAAAATTGCGATCGTCGGCGGCACAAACAAGCGCGGCCTAAGGACGGTTCGCAGGGGGGGGGCGTATTTGCGAAGAGCGCTGTGGTGGCGCGCGGGGTGGACCGAGGAGGAAAACGGGGGTTTGGGGTGCGTCGGTTCGTGGGGTGGGGCCAGCGGGACACTTGTGGGGCGAGGGCCGGCACCGAGAATCGAACCGCGCAGATTGTCGGCGGGTGAGGGCGCGGCCCGCGGGAGAAGGAATGCCGAGCCGGGTGGCAGGGGGAGGAGGTAGCCGGTGAGAGAGAGAGAGAGAGAGAGAGAGAGAGAGAGAGAGAGAGAGAGAGAGAGAGAGAGAGAGAGAGAGAGA